TATAGGACACAGCAATAAAAAGCACATCCAGACCAGTCACAAAGAATACCACAAAGAGGCCGTAGTAACTATTGACATGAATATCGTTGCAGGCCAGCTTCACCACAGCCATGTGCTCACAGTGCGTGTGGGGGATGATGTTGGTTCTGCAATATGGCCACAGTCTTGCCAGGAAGGGAGTGGGCAGTGCAAGCAACAGCCGTGCAGCAACACAGACAGACCGATCTTGGCCACCACAGGGTTTGTCAGGATGGTGGAATGTCTCAGGGGGTTGCAGATGGCCACATAGCGATCCAGAGCCATGGCCACCAGAATCCCAGACTCCATCTCTATGAAGCAGTGAATGAAGTACATCTGGGTGAGGCAGGCTCTGAAATCTATTTCCCTGGAATTGAACCAGAAGATGCTCAGTGTTTTGGGCAGGATGGACGTAGACAGGACCAGGTCGGTGATGGCCAGCATGCAAAGGAAATAGTACATGGGCCCATGGAGGCTTTGTTCCGTCTTTACGATGAACAGGATGGTGAAGTTCCCCAAGATGGCTATGGCATATATGGTGCAGAAGGAGATGGAAATCCAGACATGGGCCATCTCCAGGCCAGGAATGCCCAGCAGGATGAAGGTGGAGGGGTTGGTGAAATCAGTTTTGTTGGAATCTGACATGGAGTAGGGGAGAAGGTGTACAACTCTGAGGCAAAACAGTGTCTCCTGCATGTACCGTAGGTTCCCCTAACTTCCTGTATGTGCCCAAACTCTAGGGTGATGGTCGCAGTAAATATTCCTGAATGGAGAGACAATGTTAATATGAGACACTACATGCACTACTGGAGGGGTTGTCATGGGTGAAGCAGATTTGTCGTTCTTCACACACTGATAAATGACATTTTCATAATTCAGAGAAATTCTGAACAACTGACCCTACTAATGCCAATTCTAAATATGATGGTGGTCCATGTCTCTCATTCGGACACTCAATCTCTGTGTCAATTCATGTCGCCCTGTGCCTCAGTTTACTTATCTGTATAATGGGGATATATTAATAGTCACTTTCCTTTGCTAGGTGTTCTCAAAATCCTTCAATGAAAGGTGCAGCAAAACATGGTGATAGTTACTGATGAGAATTACAGATCTCTGATGCCTTAGAGATAGTTCAGTGTGCCTGGAGAAAGTGCTTGTGTCTCCCCTCAGTCACCATTCTCCAGATCTGTCTGTCTAATATCTACCCATCCCTCCTAGATATCTACAGGGTATCAGGCCCTATGGAGATCTAGGCATTATCCCCTGTTTTCTTCCTAATTAACTATATATTTTAAATATACACAAATAGACAGAGCAGCCAATTCGTCTCTGAGGGCAGAGCCCAAAAGTTCTCATCTCCCTTTGGGAAGGTCCCTTAATTACTGTTTACTCCTAAAGCTGGATAAATAGCACAGAAGTGCAGATAGGCCAGTCTCCAGCCTGTTTACATCCGAATGCTGCTTCTCTGCTAGAGGCTGAGCGAACCCCCTGGGATTGCACAGAGCTATATTATAAACGGTGCATGCCTCTGTGTCGGCTCTCAGCGTGGGATGTTGCTGCAGATGCTGGGGTGAGAGAGGTGTGGGGCACGGCTACCTGAGGGGGATTCCCAGGGAGGACACTTCCATCTCAGAATTCACAGGTACCCATCTTTTCCTGAGGAGCTCACCTGCTCAACAAACCCAGGGCTCTGGCTGTTAAGAGGGGGGCTGTTACCTGACTTTTATCTGCTGGAGAACGTGGAGGTGCCAGGGCTCCTCACTGCGGCAATTTTAAATATTTGTCAGCATTGGCAAGACATCTTGTCTCCTTCCTTTATTCAAGAAGACATTGAACCGTTATGTCTGAAACTTAAAAAAAAAACAATTCAGCCATATGCAGATGCCCAATGTGGTAAATTTCAATCCAAACACTTAGAGTTTGGAAAACTCATAGGCAACTCAAAATGAGGTCTTCTAATGGAAGGTGTCAGTCTCCTAACTAAAGGTGGTACCACCAGCACCACTTTCAATGGCCAATCCACTAGTGAATCCCATTCGACTAAGCTCTTTGCTCCAATAATGCCTGTGGCAAGGAGTTCCACAGGCAAAATAGGTATTATGTAAACCATTTTCTGTTATCAGTGTTATATATTCAGACTATCAGTGTTATTGAATGTTCCCTTTGCTTGTTATGAGACAGTCTCAACGTAAATGTTTGATCTAGTTTTTTTATTGATAGATTCATAGGGTTCAAGGCCAGAAGGGCCCATTTGATCGTCCAGTCTGACCTCCTGTATAACACAGGCCAGTAAATGTCACCTAGTTTTACCCCTGTATTGGGCTCCATAACTCGTGTTTCACTGAGCCCTCGTCTACCATATGATTTTACATCATAGAATCACAGAGCCACAGGGTGAGAAGACACCACAGTTGTCATCTAGTCTACCTGCCTGCCAAGAAGCAAAGGAGCTTCCATGTCCTCCCAAGGCGTCTCTTCCATTGCCCTCCTGTTCTGACTCTTAGGAAGTTTTCCCTGAGATTACATCTAACTCTGCTGTGCTGTAGTTTGAACCCATTGCCTCTTGTCTTGTGCTATGTGGTAATAGAGAACATTTCTCCATTTCTTTTATGGCACCCTTTCAAGTGTTTGTAGATGGCTATCATGTCCCCCTCTAATCTCCTCTTTCCAAACTAAACACACGCAGGTCCTTCAGCCTTTGTTTCATATGGTTTGTATTACATGCCTTGGATCATCTTTGTCTCTCGCCTCAGGTTTTCCTACATCCTTTCTGTACACTGGTACCTGGAACTAAACGCAATACTCCAGCTGAGGCCTGACCAGTGCCGAGTACAAATATACTATCGCTTCCCATGACTTCATGTTATGCCTCTGTTAATGAATCCCAAAACTGCATTTCTTTGCTGTTTTTTGCAATAAGAAAAAAATCCACAGCCCTGAAAGTTGTACGTATAGCAACCTAACTGCCCTGTCAGGCAACTGCTGTCTAAGATTTGCCAATTTTAATCCACTGTAGATGTGCTTCATTGATATTGTAGCATGTTCATTTTCATCTAAATGTTTTCGCTTACTAAATTAAATGCCTCAGACAAATCAAAGTCTATTACATCTGTGCAGCTTCCTTGATCAGCCACATGCACTCTCATTAAAGCATGAAACTGGGTTTATTTCAGAAACCCATTTTCCATAAACCCTGTTGTTGACTGATATTAATTATATTCCTAGCCTTTTTTGTTAACTAATCCCAGACCAGCTTTTCCATTGCTTCCTAACCCTGTCAAATCTTTTTTTTAAACTTTCCCTTCTTTTTCATGCTTTAGAGTTAACACAGAACTGCCCTGTATTTACTTTCTTCTACTTTTGGGGCTCTGCTGCTGCCTGATTGTGTGCTTCTGCTTCCGAATGAGATGTGTGGTTGATTGGTCAGTTTGTAACTCTGATGTTCGTAACTCTACGGTTCCATTATACAAGCTCTTTAACAGCTTCCTTGACTGCTAATAGACTGGACAGTAGTTCATCAGCTCGTGTGATATGTGTACATCATAACACTGCTTTCCAAATGCAGAACAAAACTATATCGTGAATACATCTGCCTTTTCTGCAACTTTAACAAGTTTTTTTTCGCCCACTAGGAATTGGCCTAAACCTTTTCTAGGATTTCTTTTGATTTTTCTCTGATATTTTTATGTCCCTTATCAATTTTCATAACTTCCAATATGTATTGCTTGCCATCTATTTTCCCTTTATCCCATTAGTTCTGTATTGCTTTCCCCACCATTATTGCTGCCTTCACTTTGCCACTGAACTGGCTTTCTAGCCAAAGCTTGGCATGTTTTGATTGTGGAATCGAGGATTTTTAGTTATCTAATGAACTCTTCTTAAAGAACTCCCCATTTTTATTCTCATTTCCTGTTTTATATTATTTCCTCCCAATCAGTTTTGCTCATAATTTGCCACAGCTCTGGGGAATTAGCCCTTTTGTAGGACTAAGTGTCTATAGATATTACTGGTTGGGAACTGTTCTCTGTTTGTCCATTGGAATGTGATCAGTTCCAATCTTTTAGTGTAAGTAGATATTACTGGTTGGGAACTGTTCTCTGTCTGTCCATTTGAATGTAATCAATTCAATTTTTTTATTTTTCTCTCATCGATCATATGTTCTCTACTTTGTCAATTCTCTAAATTAAATAGTCCCAGACTTTTCATTCTGTCCATATATGGCAGCCTCCCCCATTCTCATAGCCTGTCTCAGAAACTCCCTTTTTATTTGCTATGTTCTTTATAGCACCTGGGTGACCAAAACTGAGTGTGTGTCCAGAGGAGGTTACTCTCCACCCCATTCCTTTGATATCTGAACACTGTATTTGTTTTGTTTAGTCCATAGACCTCCTATCAATGATGCACAGGTTTTACCCCTGTGTTGTGTTGCAGATGGCATGTTTTGGCAATGGTTTAGATTTTTTTCACTCTCAGATTTTGAGCAACTGGGGGAATGGGAACATCCCTAGAGAATAGAGCCTCTAGCCTGGGTTTCATTGCATTTCCTGCTGATGCCGATTAATGTTTCCCACACCACAACGTGTAGGAATTATTGATGCATGGACCACCTCATATATGGAATTGGCATTAGTAGGGTCAGTTGTTCATAATTCATTTCCCTGAATTATGAAAACACCATTTATTGGTGTGTGAAGAGCGACAAATCTACTTCACCCATGAGAACACCTCCAGTACTGCATGTAGTGTCTCATATTAACATTGTCTCTCTATCCAGGAATATTTACGGAGACCATCACCCTAGAGCTTGGGCACATACAGGAAGTCAGGAGAACGTACGGTACATTCAGGATACACTGTTCTGCCTCAGAGTTGGAAACCCTCTCCCCTACTCCATGTCAGATTTCAACACAACCGACTTCACCAACCCCTCCACGTTCATCCTGCTGGGTGTTCCTGGCCTGGAGGTAGCCCATGTCTGGATTTCCATCCCCTTCTGCACCATGTACACCATAGCCATCTTGGGGAACTTCACCATACTGTTCATTGTGAAGATAGAACCGAGCCTCCATGAGCCCATGTACTATTTCCTCTGCATGCTGGCTGTCTCTGACCTGGTCCTGTCTACATCCATCCTGCCCAAGACGCTGAGCATCTTCTGGTTCAATTCCAGGGAGATCGATTTCAGTGCCTGCCTCACCCAGATGTACTTCATTCATAGCTTCCTAGCGATGGAGTCTGGGATCTTCGTGGCCATGGCTTTGGATCGTTATGTGGCCATCTGCCATCCCCTGAGACATTCTACTCTCCTGACAAACCCCATGGTGGCCAAGATCAGCCTGGCTGTGGTACTTCGTGGCTGCATGCTCCTGTTGCCCGCTCCCTTCCTGGCAAGATTCTTGCCATATTGCAGAACCAACATCATCCCCCACACACACTGCGAGCATATGGCCGTGGTGAAGCTGGCCTGCGCCGATATTCATGTCACTAGTTACTACGGCCTCTCTGTGTTATTCTTTGTGACTGGTCTGGATATGCTTTTTATCACTGTGTCCTACACCCAGATCCTCAGGGCCATCTTCAGCCTCCCCACAAAGGACACCCGGCTTACGACTTTTGCGACCTGCAGCTCCCACCTTGGTGCCATATTAGCCTTTTACATCCCAGCTCTCTTCTCCTTCCTCACGCAGCGGTTTGGCCACAATGTGGCCCTGCATTTCCATGTTCTCATGGCCAACA